CGGCTCGTGCCTCTGGCTCCTGGGGGTCCTCGGAGGGAGGGAGGCCGTGGGAGGAGGCTGAGGGCCTCTCAGAGAGGCTGGCTGCTGTGCCTCAGGCCCTGAGCTGATCCCTGCGGATCCTCGGGCTTCGGCGTTGCTGCTACTTATCCTGGCAGCTCGGAAGCCAACCGGTCCGACAGGCGGGGACGATGTTATTCTCATTCTTCAGATGAGGAGACCGCAGCTGAGAGGGGTCAGCACGTGCCCGGGGCCCAGCACCAGGGAGGAGCGGGGTGGGACCGCAAGCCGGGTGCCTGACCAGGTCCTGCCTGCTCAGCGCTGGGGACACTGTGGCGAGGAGGCAGTGACCACAACCTCCCCCGGGGCTGTCACACAGCCGGAACCTGACAGGGTGTGTTCACCTACACTGTGCTCCCTCCACTCGGCCCACCGTCTGGATGACTCAACGCTGTTACAGCATCAGAAACAAGGGGAGCCCAGGCCACCCCTGTGAACCCACAAAACCATCATAAAGGATCGCCTCAGTCCTAGAGGGACCCAACGTAGCCTGGGACAGTCACAAGCATCCTCACCAGCCCACAAGCCTGGCAGTGACTGCCTCACAGCTCCCCACAGACCCCGCCGGACCTCCTGCACCCGTGACCACGTGTGCCCCCACCTGACGCATAAGCTTCCCGCCGGGGCCGCGGCAGTGAGGGGACGTGGCTCAGCCAAGGCCGGGCCCGCAGAGCCGTGGCACCTCCCCAGCTGCTGACAGAGGCTCGGGCTCTCGGGCTGGGATGCTGGCAGAGGCTTATTTCACCCTCTGGTCCCTGTTCCGGCTCCCTGAGCAGTCGCTCCCCCACCCTCCCAGGTCGCTGTAACCAAGAGAAGCCGCCGCCCTCGGCCCGGCCCGCAACACCTGCCCTCTGCTTGCCAGAGCTCCCACGGGTCCCTGTCCACGTGGCGCTCAGCGGCCAGCTCTGTGACGTCCCCAAACGCCAGCTACCTCCACACCACGGTCAGCCACGCGGGAGGAAGCGGCTCTTACCAGGCATGATGATCTCGGGGAACCCCGTCTTCCGAGCCACGGCCGTGGTCCTGTCCACTAAGTGAGGAAACTCCTTCCTGATCTGATGGACGTCTCCAGGGAGCAACTTCAGAGTGACCCACAGGCCTAGGGAGACAACAGGCGCGTCCGTTATGTTTTATCTCGTCCGTGTCTAAAAGAAGGCATCACAAAACCAGCTCAACGAACGAGCAATTCCTCGTTCATGACATAAGGCTGTAAGAGAAAAGGTCGTGTATGAGGAGGGGGGAGGAGAGGGGCCAGGAGGAGGCGGCTGGCCCGGGCATCACCTGCGTCGGATTGGCTGGGTTACAAATCCCGCTCAGCCGGGGCCGCAGGACAGGCGTGCACGCGGACAGCGCTGAGCGCCAGCTCTGCCCAGGACCAGAGGCTTTTGAGCTCACGTGCACTGAAGGTAAACCATGAGCTAGCATTTTGCGGGGATGGTTGACCGGCTTTCGCTTCTCATTCTCCCAAGGGGGACAACAGAGGAGAACCTGGGAGGTAAATTCTCAGCTTCACGAACCCAATGTTCCAAATTGCTGAGCAGCACCCGAGCTCTGCAGGAGGCGGGCGGCAGAGCGCTGGGCTGTGGACCACCACCAGGCTGGCCCCACAGGACCGGGCCGGCCCCACAGG